GTTTCACACATTATACTCTCACACATTTCTCTTGGGAAATACCCGGTATTCAAAAAAAAACAAGCCTTTTTGGGTGCCGAAGTCTTACCCTATATTCCTTTATTATATACGGAATTGTTAATAGCTTGTTTTTATTAAACTTGAAGTGAACAAGCATAATCTGAAGTTCTGTGACTCAGTTTTCCCTCATATTCAAAATGGCAATTATTTAGGATATCTCAAGGATTTTAGCCTTGTCAGTAAGGTCCCTTCAGTTGCAGTATATCCTTGCAGAAAAGTATATACTTCTTGAACAACTTGAAATGAAGGAGTCTTCGATATTGCGCGGTAAGTTTTTCGTCAGTACTCATTTTCCTTGATATCTGCCTATGATCTTTCAGGTCACTGATTTTAGGATCAGAAGGCTCTTTATCTACAGCTGCTCGCAGAGCACGATGGTTATCCGTTTGTCAAGAAATTTCGAAGTCTTTAAATTTATGCCGCAGATTGCTGAACAAGGATGCTAAACCGGAGTGCTACCGTTTGTGCCCTGCTGGTCCATCGTCACATTGTTGTGATGTTGTTCCAAACTATCAAAGCATCCATCAAAATGGCGGCGATACACTGGTGACAAGACTGTGATTCGCCTCACATACATTTTATCGCAGACTTTACTTTTTTCAGTTTTTCTAATTGCTCTCGTTTTGAACTTCGCCTGCAAAGGACTCTTGGCGTTTGATATTTTTTTCGGTGATATAACTCAGAGTGCGGTGAATTCTATTGCCATAGTTTCCGACGTCTCCCTCATATTGTTTCAACGAGTTGATTCTGTGCCCCTAGCAGTAGTATAAGCGTTCTTATGATTCAAAGAGATTCTTTTTATGAATTCAGGTGAGTGTAGTTGATTCGGAGTACTAGTATTCGCTAGTTTTCGTCTTACTCACGTTTTTACTGCTGGTTTTTGAGATTATTTGTGATTCTTAGTCAGGCAGGTGCTCACATTCCCCGTTATTCAGTGTCGTTGATTTTTTCCTTTGTATTCGTTTTGTTTTTTATGTTTATGGCATAATCTCTCCCGGTCAACTTTACCAGTGCATAATAGGAGTTTTAGATTTCGAGATTGTATCAAAGTTTTGCTCCAATCGTATGTGATAGATAGAGCTTGTATTTGTGTATACTTCGAGATCTAATGACGTTATTTTGTGTGGTGTTACTTGTAATGAAAGTTTCGGTATCCATCCACTTGGTGACCTCCACCATGTTCGAATCATGCGGTATCGTTGTAGTTCGTGATAGATGTCCGTTTCAAAAAAGATCGCGATATTAAGCTACATCTCCGACGATATCAGCGATGTTGGCGTCTCGATATGCAGCGCAAATGTTGTTCAAACAGTCTAGAGTTGTAGTTTCTATGGATCCTTCAGTGTTACCGCCCTGCTGTGATACGCGTTTTGGAAGATATTCATTTTTACGGTTAGTTTCTGGGTTCAGATGCCCTGCTCTGCTACTATTGTGAATACTTGCAGAATGACATCAGCTGGCCCTCCACCAGCAAGTCCTCCAAAACCAGGATCTTTCTCAGCACGATACGATGCTTTCATCGCACGGTGGCCGAAGGTATACGCGTTGCATAGGATGGTAGTTGATGGTCAGTGTTTTGATAATTTTTGCGGAAAAAATATTTTTCAAAGAGTGTCCATCACCTAGGTTCTCGTTGGTGTTTTTCGGATATTAAGACATATATCCGATTAAAACGTGAGCTATCCTCTGACGCGAGATCATTGGAGAGCTTAAGCATGCCCGAATTGGAGGTGCTCGTGCAAGTCAGTTAACCTTACCCTTTTTGCTAAATATCTTGTTTCAATGCACTTGTGAGCGAAGCTTGATATGGAATGTCCTAATTAGAATGAAAGTCGGTTCCGAGAAAAAAAAAACATATTTTAAAAACCTCTGGTGAAGATATGACGTGGTATTGCCGTTTTTGTGGCTTTCATGACCTTTCTGGGAGCAGCATGTGCCTGTTGTTTTGTGCTCTACAGCTGTTCAATGATTAATTGTATTGTCGTTGAATTGATTGACGAAGAAATTAACTGAAAACGGCAAGATCACGTTCAACATAGTCCATTGTTGACGTTTTCGTCGTTTTTTTTTGTGTACTGTAGTGATTGTTAGAAGCTTTTTTCTGAGTTTCCCTAGTGTATTCAGGCCTGAAAAACTAACAATGCCTTTTTATTTTATGAATTTTATACAATCTTTGCCATGTTAGAGTGGTGGCGAACTGGCGAAAATGCTTGCACTGGTCGTCGTACTCCAAATTCCTGGCCCGGGTGACATCCTCATTTTACTGCTGTGAGTTAGCCCTGTGTCGTAAATTTGACGTTGACCACTCATTTGCGCTGCCATCGGCTTGTGGCTGCATGACTTTGCAATTTGTTGCTTTCGGTTTGTGGTTTTAACCCTGAAAATGTTTTGCGCACTTATTCGAGACTTGCTTTTTATCGTCCTAAATATGTCATGTCATGCTACACTGGAGTTTTTCGGTCTTTTGAATTTTGGAACGTGTTCTTTCTGAGATGGACTTCATATTGTAGCATAAACGACGCTAAATAGTATAGCCAAGGTAAGACCTCAAACAGTTTCTCTGATGGTATTTGGTGGCCGGTATCGTGGGTAGTGGTTTCAGATGCCTACCGAACTACCAAGGGTTGTGGTAACAGCTGTGCTCGTGCCCATACCTTTTGGATTTTATGTGATTGGCTTCGCTATGTATGTATCAAACTTATTTGATGTTGTGTTTATGCAAGCGTGTATTACCTAAGGTCTTTTGTCTTTCGTAATTGTTGTTCTGGAGAAATAACTAAGTTTTGCCTTGTTGCGTATTCTTGGTACCGTTTTACTATCTTGACTTTGTGGTAGTCTCTTTTTTCACTCTCTTGTCTTTTTGATGTGAATATTTGTTGACAACTACTTAAATTAAAGTTTTCTTTACAGTATTTTCTTTCCGCGTCTCATCTTAACACGTCATTTCTGGAGTGATGCCCAACGGAAGAAATTCTTCCAGATAGATGTTGAACGATCTCTCAAAAATTGTTCGCTTCGTTCTCTGATAGGGGATGTAAGTTGGAAGTCACCGTTTTCAACATTCATATTTGGATCTTCACAGTCTCCTTTCTAGCCATCATCTGTCGAACAAATACGCTTGACTAACCTCGATCAGCTGAATTTCGAGACATTGGTGAGTCATAAAGAAATTATTTGTAGAATCGTATATTTCTTAGAAGGCAACACGCTTATTTTTGTTTTCTCCTGAATTCTTGTTTTTCTTGAATTATGTTCAGTATCATTTAATTTTCACATGAAGCTTCTTCCGCGAAAGCACAGCAACTGATCTGCGTGGCTTGGATAATTTGCCCAAAATGCCTCACGTGCTTGATTGTTTTCATACCCACTTGTCTTCTGAATGTGATTATGGACCATATAATTACTTTTACGGGTCAGCTCATTTACACGCTAGGTTATTCATCCTTGATTCATCCTTGATTTGATCCCCAGGTCTGGCAGACTTAATGGCACCGTTTGTCTCTGCCATATTTTTACTCTTCCTCGAAATTGTAATGATCAATAAAGCTCCTTTTAAAGGAGGGGTAACTGAACATTCAAGAGCAGTGTTTTTTTTTNTTTTTTTTTGGTCAGGGAATGGCTTGAAGCCCTAGTTGAGATATTAGTGTAAGAGTTATGACAGTTAGCTTATTCTAGGTCGGTGAGCCATGATTTCCCAAAACATGGCAGAAGTCGTAATTTTCTTTTACGGGACCTGCTTATCAAAGAAATATGTCGAGGATTGAAAATGCAATCAAAGTGGATCGAAGCTGGTTTACAACGCTCGGAATTCTAATCATTTTCTGACACTTCTTGAGGAGACGATTGCTCAAAAAAAAAACCAATGCACTTTCACACATTTCTGAGTTTCATGATGGTGGTGACGTGACGTGCAAGAATTGGTGCAGTTCGGATAATTATAATTCAACAAACTACTGCTGTCACGATTGCGCGACAGGTTTCCTAATTAGAAGCTCTTGCCGGGTCGCTTTTATCAGAGAAGCCAATCGTGCCATTGAAATGAAGAAAAAGTGAACCGGAACCAGTTTCCAGCGCTGTGATGTAGAATTCTATAAGTGCCTTCGATACCGTTTGAAGAAAAAAAATTGTTGTACTTACACGCTTCTTATTGCTAAGGTTACTTTTCACGGATGGTGGTGACTTTTCACTAACGAGATCACTATCTTCAAGCCAAGGAGTACCATGGCTTCAGTAGTGGATATAGGTTTTACTTATTTTCCCTTCTCTATTCTCTATCAAGGTGTTTGATAGTTTCTCTATCAACTTCATCGTAGCAGTTAAAAAGCTTCACTAATGACTTCCTTCCTGACAGAGTGGATGTGCTTCCATTCTACTATTTCTATTATTCTATTACCTTTTTTCTCAAAAAATTGGCCAACCTCATCTGCAATAGCTAAAATTATAGTTTTCCAGGCTTATAATGAGAATTGCGAACTCGCTAAAGAGCTTATTAACTTATATTAAACTCGACTTCTTTAGTGAAGGTCATTTTGCTCCTATGTCTCTGAAGTCACCGTTTTCTGTTGAAATGCAGATTTCTGTACAAATGCCATCAGACGGGATGTATTGCAGTTGTGTCGGTCGATTTTGACCTATTTAGTGGAGTATTAATTAAGTATGTAACAAAGATGAGAAGAGCCAGCAGTAGGGCTTATGTTCTGCCTTCAACAACTCAAATTGTTGCCATTTATCGTTGTTTTCTCATATTCTTCGAATGTGATTCTTTTGAACACTTTAAATCGTTCGAACACGTGTCCTTCGAGTTCATGCAACCTTTCTAAGGCCATGTCCGCCTGAAATTTGTTATCTTTGGTGTACTTTTTGACGGTTTGAAGGCGGCTCCTCAGGGAATTGACAGGAAACGAACTCGGTTTTCAATTTCGTTGTTCTTCTCCTCTTTACACAGCCATGTTGACGTGATTTTTAGATTTGTCCTTATTTGGGAAGTTACTTTGTTGTTTTCTACGATGAGCTTATTTGCTGAATCTTTCATCCTTCTCATCAATATCCTCGACCAAATAGTGATTAATATAGATTGAATTTTGAGGGAGTAATGTAATAAAGTAAACGATATGTATGAATTCAAGAATTCAGCACAGTTTGTATTTGTATCCCTTCCTTCATACCATTTAGATAGCGTTATCAGCGCTTCATGCCATGTATCCTTGGCCAGGAGTGAGGCGTCGATTCGCACTACGATGTAAAACAATGCGCCTGTTGGATAGGGTCGTCGAAAACAACCTGAATTCACTCACTGAGCGGCAGTTACACTTTGTAAGTGATGTATTCTTTTTTCATACATTTTTTTAAAATTGTAATAATTATCTTGTAGTGGCTAAGTTCTGAATCCTACCTTTCAGCACCTGTACATACGACGTATAGAAGTTCAGCCGAATGCCTCCGAGAGCGAACTACGAAAAGTCCTCAAGGACTGGATGAGATTCAGTACGTCAATTGATTACGAGTTTATCAAGGATATTCTGGCATTATGGCTACTTTCAGCAAACCATTTGAGCGATATGGCGTATCTTTGTGCTCCTGTCTTCTTCAACGAGAAGAGGCTAGACTCGTAGTTCTAGACTCAAAGTTTTAGCTAGATTTCAATTAATAACTAGTGTTCTGTTGATTTTTACACGGGAGATATCAATTGTGTTCTCGTTTCATACCTATTACTTTAACAATAATGTATTCCGTTTGTAATAAGAACATCTGTTGAGAGTTTGTTGTATGTGTTGTTCACGTGCCAATAGGTTTATAAATTTTTATCTTATCAGTGTCATCATTGAGAATTGATTGTTTCTCAAGTGGACTATTTGATAGAAATTGATTTGGTTGAATTCATTTTTACATATTTGTTAATAATTTATAGGAAACTTCTTTTTGGTGTCTACCTTATATATGCGTGATCGGCCGAAGTTTGCCGACCTTAGATTAGCATGGTAAATTAGTTTCTATATTTGCCCTGATCATGAAAAAAAAATCTCAAGTTCCTTCATTTTTTTGTAGCAGATAGAATTTCTTATGCTTCAGGTTTCATACAGTCTTTTATTCTTTGAGCTTGTACTTTCTTTCCCTCTCTCTTGGCTTTCTTCTGTAATTGAAACTGTTTCCAACAGCTTTTTTGATTAACCAATTTCAGGTGTAAAACACGGCTTCGATTCGGGACACTCCTCTTTTCCTTCCCGTTGCTCTAACCGCGTAAGTCAGCTGGTGATTTTCTTACAATCCTCCATGTTGCCAACAGTTGCTTTACAGATTGACTATGCCGGCGTCCTACGGGGAGGAAGACCTTCTTCTGAGAGATGGCGGAACGACCGTTCCACCTCTTGTTCTTCGCCCGCTCATACGATCAGATGTGCCAGCAATTGAAGCGCTATGTGCTGCTTCCTTTCCAATTCAGTATCCGGGATGCTGGTCAGTTCGATTTTCGGAAAACTCAATTAATTCTATTCTTCCGTGAAAGGAAATCGAAATACTGAACACATAGCTTTGCAGTAGCACGTTGTGTGAAGTCATTTCGAATACTTCTTTCTCTGCAATATCCTAGTGTGTTACAAAAGTTAGCCCTGCCAGCGCGTTATATTTCGTTTTTTGTAGGTTTGAAGAAGTGGTCGGTGGCGAGTTGATCAGTGTGGGACTGTTCGACGAAAATCAGTTGGTAGCAATGATGGTTGCAGAGGTTAAGACGATCCTACATTGTAATCCAGAGGTAAGTAATGTTTCTGCAAAGTACACTTGTAGCCAGTGTGCGGCTTTTGAATTTTTATCATTGTCAAATCTACTCTAGACAGATGAAAGATTTCAGGACCGCGACATAGTCGCAGATAGTGGGGCTCATGTGGTTTATATGTTGAGTTTGGCTGTTGCTCATGCCTATCGGAGACTAGGTCTTGCATCAAGACTACTTAGGCATTTACTGGATTCGGTGAGACTGACGTATTAACAGTTTTTTCCAGTTTTCTCTCATTTTTCTCCATGCTTTTCATTCCCTTCATTTGTTATCAGGTCGTGGATAATTCCCCATATCCGAAAGCCGTATTTTTGCATGTTTTATCGACAAATTTACCTGCGATCAAGTTCTACAAATCGCATGGGTTTATTCATCACACTACTTTGCTGTTAGTCCTTTTAATCTATTTCCTTAGTGGCTGTTTTGTCGCTGCAGGCATAGCAATAATTTGGGGTATAAAAACGACATTTCAGAAACTATTATCACCTGAAATCTGAGTATGGAGACGCATGTACGTATGTGCTTTATACGAATGGATCACGACCTCCTTTCTCCATCGGTGATGTTTGCCGATCTGTGGGCACTGCTCTCTGTTTCCCTCTCAAAGCTCTGTGCCGGATGTTTTTTCACTGATGAAATTAGGTTGTGGAAAAGTCCCTTCTCTGTGGGGAAGAAATGGCTTGAGATTGAGGCGTTTTACTGGTTAGAGATAAGTCCTTTTGCATTTAGAAATCTATCACCAAACTTTTTTTCGGAAATTAAATTGCGCCAACAAATTCATGCCTGTTGGGACTACGCTAGGCAGATTTGTTACGGTCGAAACTCCTTACTGGTTTAAATGGCCTCATAGGAGCGGTTAAACGATTATTTTTTCATGGAGAGGTCTCGGATTCTCTTAAAGGGCTCTTGTTGATCAAATAAGATTTATTTCAAAAGCAGCCTAGCATTGCCAGTCTCAAGGCCACTGACTTTGAGTTACCCACTATCGCCTGATTGAAGGCTTTCTGATGCATCTGAAGCTTTTATCAGTTACTGTTTCCAGCCACAGTTTCTTTTGTTCAACGATGTCAATTGCAAGTGTTAATGCGCAATTTGACTCGTACTAGTTCAGCTAGTATTTTCGGTTTCAGCGCATATCAGACCAACAGTATATATCAAAAATATCCTAATTTTTAAAATCTGTGATGCAAGACTTGAATTTTTAAAACGGCGATTGGGTTTGAGTTCGCGCAGGAGCTTTCCATTCACTTGGTTCCCTTTTCCAAAAGTTCCATTGTTAGGTAGGGTCCGTTTAATTCCGATTCAGAATTGGGTTGAATCAATTTTAACCAAGCTGCAACGCTAGAATTAAAAACAATAGTTGAATATCATACTTCTAGTGCACTTCCCAAATTGAGGGTTTCTTGTAAGTTTTTCTTATTGTGATTAGTTGCTTTCTCTATTGACACTATTTCTACCGCTCTATGCATTTGAAATTTCGTAAATTGTAAATGAATTCTCTTTTTTGAATCTTCACTGATAATTCGGGTTTGAGTTTTTGAAACAGCCGAGCTTCAACAAATCAAGTCAGCACTCAGAACCTTCCTAGTTAGGTAGCACTGGATTCCAACTATGGGGCCTTTCGAAAAAACCTGGGCCCCATCTTTACACAGCTACATCTACAGGATTCGTATTGTTATCTCCCATAACCTCTTGCAACAATCGGTTCTACCCATTGTTACCAAGCGTTTACCAGTCTTCGGTTTAGCAGTGTGATACTTGTCATTCTTGCTTCGGAGGAACGAAAGAGCATCGTAATTTCGGAAATATTATCAGTGGAGATTTACAAAAACAGAGTTTTCATTATTTTTCATCAAAATTCAATATTCAAACAAAAAAGCTCAGGTCTGTTTATGTTGCTCTCTATACATAGCTATAAAGGGATCGTATCAGAAAGAGACAGTCGAAGAAAGCTATCAACCTATCATAACGACTCCCAAGTTACTTAAGAGTGAAGTAGTTCTTTCAAGTTCGATCCCAACTTCGGCTTAGCTTTGCTTCTCTATAAATGCTCTGGCTATGAATTGATTGCTTCGCTTTGACAATCTATAACCACTACTCAGTGATTGTATTGTTGTCCTCGCAGAAATCTCCTATGACTCAGGATCTGGTCAGCTTTTGTGTATGTCTTATCATCAACCATCATTACCGGTTTATACTCTGCATTGTACATAGTGCAAAAATATATGTGACTATTCATATACCAGTTGTTGTCATGCGATCAGGGCTTGGCATAGGGTTTCGTGACTGTCCCTACCACTCTAACCCTTTTTCCAACTGTCACTGTACCCCTATTTTAAGTAGAGCCATTTCTCTGTTTTCTGTGGTTCATAGTAAGTTCCCATATGCTCATTACTTGCTGTACAAGCCTTCTTGCCAGTATGCCATAACCCAGTTGGACCTTTTTGACCCTATCTTTTTACCCACCTCTTCTGGTCTTTACACAGTAACCTCGCGCGGCCCTGTTTGCCAGTATGTGCAAGCCAAGGTATGTTCCAGGGCAACAATGTTCCAGGGCAATCCTAGGTATACGAAATAGTAGACACCTCATGCCGACAGTCTGTGGAATACGGTAATTTGAGGTGTATCCATTTGTAGTCTTCTATAAATGATCTTTCCGCATTTGTTATCCTCAACGACGAGTATTAGTTTATTTCGCGGCATGCTTTAGATTTCATACTAAATTGTCTCGAAATGTGCACGCTCGTTCACTGCATTGTTCTTTTTTTATGTTTATTGATTAGGAATAAACATTTATGTCTTTATGCTGTTGTGTTTCATTCAACGTTGTTGTTCCATTGGTCACATGTTGATGATGATCATCAATAGTTATCACATCGCTCGAAGCCGATTGTCCTGCATTATGGGTGGCGGCAGTGGCGGCGGCAGCTGCAGCGGTCTGCGCAGGCTGCGACGGTTGGTGTTGTTCGGTAAGTGTTCGCAATTCTTTTCGTACACGCTAAACAAAAATTGTGCATCTTCTTGCTGTTTTTCTACGACTTTAAAACTTGTTCAATGTATTTTCTAAAAATTTAATGATTTTAGTTAGAAGAAAATCTTTTAAAAGAATAAAAAAATCATTATTTCTGAGTGTATGACTTCTATGTCTTAATGCACCTAATGTTGCTGACTTATTCAGAGGAAATTCAGTAATTTCATTGAGTTTCTATGATGAAAATCGAGTGTTGCAAAAATGTATTACAGTGAGTTAATGCTCTATTGATTAGTAGCTAATGGATCAGATTAGTAACTAATATAATATGTGAAGTACTATGTAGTTATTTCATAATTGCCTTTTTTGATTATGATCTATTATATAATATATGTTTTTATTGCTGTAGTAGTAGTAAAAACTAGAATTACTATTGATATTAATTTATTTTAATGGTTGATGTTAGAGGTTTCCAGAAAAGCCCAAAAAAAANTATTTTGGAAATATTGACAAATAAATCAAATACGAAACGTTTTGTCCATTTTTAATGAGTAGTAGGCTATTCTTACCTCTAAATCAGCCTCCACGTGATTTTTAAGTGATTGTATTGTGGCAATCAATGTGAGGTTTCCATTAGTGTTTTGCAATTCAGCATCGTACTGCTGTAAAAATATGTGTAAGTAATTGTAAAGTACAAACTTACTCTGTAATTTGGAGAACAGAAAACGGAAAAGTGACAGATTGGATCTGAAAAAATCACCTGAATAATACGACTGAGATTCAGTGCTTTAACATTCCAATAGAACATCTGTACATCATTAAGTCGGACTACTTCGTCTTGAGTGGTGAACAGTTGACAGCCAAGATCGAATTTCCGTTTGATGGCATTAATGGCATTAAATTGCCATGCTTCCACTGTGCTCATCTTATGTGAGACCATGGTGAATCGTGAAATGATTTCGGCCGGTATTGCAGGAGGGAATTTGCTTAGCAATTTCAATTGGACCATATGAACGGCTAGAAATCGCTCGCCACCTCTCATAACCGAAGGCAATTGTACGTTGTCAATTTCCACCCATTGCCAGTTGTACAGCAGTTGAAGGAACTGTTCACCTGAACATCTTTTTTTTTTGCTAATGATGACATGCACTTTTTATCTTCATACTTAAAAAAGTTTTTCGAACAATTTCATTAGTTGAATGCATTTTCTTGGGTGAGACCAGCGAATTAGCGTTAAGTAATTCTAATAGGTCTTAGGTTGCGTGAGATTTGCGGAGAGGGGTGCGGGTCCGATTACTGTATCAGGAGACCTCATTATCTTTCGAAAGTGATGAAAAACTTCGAAAATAACTAATCAATAGCCATAAGCTAGTGTACCCACACGTGAGCCGTGAAATATGGAGAGGATATTGTTCTGTTGATTGGATTGATTCTTCCAACATTTCTACAGTCCCAAATGCAACTTGTCTGTATGCAAGAATATCATTTGTTGTGGAACGGTTAGCATTTCTGTTCAGTTGGATTCTGCTATGAAGACTTTCAATTTGATTTCAATAACTCTTTCCGCACTCTCCTTAGAGATTGAATCATACTCTGCTTATGCAACGATTCCATTCTATCGCAGTATTTCAGGGTAACCTTTGAATTTGGATTATCAATCAACAAAACAAACTCAAGGTAAAAACTGTAAAGGGAGGGAGACTGGTCACTTAAATAAATAGAGGTTACGATTATAAAACATTAGCAACTACTAAAACAGTAAAACTAATTTTTTCGGGTAGAAGCTCAAAACTACAGATCTTCAGAACTTTGAAAATGAGGAGATTCTTCTAAAAATCGAACTTTGAAAATGAGGAAATTCTTCTAAAAATCCTGCTTGCTTTCGTATTCTGAATGTTATTTTGACTTTCCAATTTTAGTACATAGTTGGTCTGACCCCTTTAATATTTTCCGTGGGAACAGAGAAACTAAAGGTTCTGAATGCAATGAAATGCAGCTGAAATTCTATAGCTAGAATATGTCGTCAGAGTTGTTTGTGTTTTCTGTAAATATCTCGCATTTTATTATTCCTAATGAATGAAATCTGTGAGGTTTTGGCTCGAATTCAAACAGTGCCTACCTGTCGGCACCTGGCGTGCATCACAGAATGCAGAAGGTGGAGGAGCAGCACGGGGTAGTTGTGCACCGCTGGGAGATTCAGCTGGAGGTACCTCAGCACTTCCGGCATCTGTACTACCGTAACGTTTTTTCGGAGGACGAGGATCAGACGGTGACGCTGCCACATCGCATCTCTCAATTACTCTTTCCTCATGGCTGTCTGGAGATCCTGAGGACTTCGTGACAGTGACAGACTCTTGGGCACCAAATACCTGAATGTTTTGTGTTTTGGAACAGCACAATGGTTGCTCAAATATTTGTTTTCTAAATAAGGAGAAAACAAAGGGTTGAAAATAATCACGTAGGAATAATTGCAAATGTAAAAATAGTGGAAGTAGGAAAGAATTTGAGCACAAATAACAGCTGAAACGTGGTTTATATCTACACAAGACGCGTCCACTATCAAGTAGGTAGGTAACCAGTATTGGTAAAGGAAGAGATTGTTGGCTGTCAAACCGAGTCGCTACCACGTGGCTGGTCGGGGATCAAATCCAGGAAGGATGTCCGCCAGATTTACCCTAAAATTCCATAGATAATAGCGGTTGAAACTACCGGTGAAAAATGAATCGGAATGAAATTGAAATTGAATGCAGTCGTCCTCTAACTTGATGGATGGTTAAATTAAACTTCGAAGAAGAAGTTAAGAAGNCTTCTTAACTTCTTCTTCGAAGTTTAATTAACCATCCATCAAGTTAGAGGGTGACTGCATTCAATTTCAATTTCATTCCAATTCACTTTTCACCGGTAGTGTCTACCGCTCTTATCTATGGAATTTTAGGGTAAATAAGACTTCCAACCCTCCAGGGTCCAATAATCGGCTCCAAGTTTTTTTGGGAGGTTAAAAATGCTTCTGTCTCGACTGGTCTTTGAAAATTATTGTGTGGGCCATGCCTTGTACCACTGCATTTCCATTGTCACTCTACATTTCGAATTTGCACAAAACTAAACCAATTAGCAAAACTACACAAAATCAACCATACAAGTGGGACACAACTAAGCTTTTCGAGTAATTAGGTCGGTCAACTCAACACAAGCTTAATAACAGCTTAAGATTACGGTATGGCTGTGGCGATAGAGCAGAGATTGCAACTGGAGCATTGTTTTCTCGGAGTAAATGTTCAGACAAATCCGTAAGTGTACAGCATTTGGAAACTTTACCGGAATTATCACACTTTGACTGTTTTTTTATATCAAGCGAAATTCAAGAACGAATGCTGACCCATACTCAGAACGCCTTCACATGACAACCCCGTCTTTTTTCATATCTGGTATTCACTTGAAAACACTTCTTAAGTTTTGATTGTATCATGATAGTCTAGCAGTACTCTTCACGTTATAGTTCACCATCAAAGGTTAAAGGTATGGACGACATTGATTTACATCGAGTGCACCCTGCATATGAATAATCATTCACAATTGTAAGGGCATTTTAAAGGGCAATCTGCGTTATGTGCGCTACTCTCAGACTCAACAAAAAACATTGAAATGATTTGAAATAAGAGTGAAAATTATGCAAACACTACAGCATTTGGAATGCTGCCAAAACACAGAAAACTTTGAGGTTTTTGAGGAATTCTTGGATTGATAGATTTTGTTATGAATAGACATTGATGGAAATTAATTCTGAAGAAAGAATTGAGCAATGAAAGCGTGAAAGAGGGTTTTTTCGAGTAAATACTTACCTCAGGACTCCCAACTATGGACACCTCAACGCGTGGCTGTTCATCGTTGGTAGTTTGAGTTGTGGACGATTGTGATGTTGTGGTGGTGGTTGAAGTGCTGGTACTAGTGGTGGCCACTTGACCAGAAGAGGATGATTCCGATGAACTGACGGTGTCCATCAGCGGGGTCTTCGTGATAACGACGTTCGGAGCCGTAGAGCAGCTACTACTACTAGTCGCTGCCAACGCAATGTTATCGATTCTGCAGCCGTCAGCGCCTCCCAGCCAGTGCTGCTCTCTCGTCCTCGTCGCGCTTCTGAATACAAGCCGATCGACGTCATCGCCCGGTGAATCTCTCTGGACCGCAGCTATCTGACCAGCAAATCGTCGACTGGCTGTTATTTCCGCAATTTATTGACATTCAAGCTGTAGAAATATGCAGGATTTTTTTTAGAATTCAAGAATTTTCTTGGTATTCCTTTTTGTGATTTATGCCCCGCCCCTTCGCTTCCCACCCTCTATCTTGTGCGTGTAATGTCCCATAAAGTTTACCTGCTTACTTGATTGTTTGGTGCGTCTCCTGGCGCATAAGTCAAAAAACAAATTAGCTTCTTAAAATAATTGAGTATTCTGTACAACATACTCAAAACATAGTAGGGCTACCAACGGCCTTTTGTTTTTTACATCAATTTCATCAATAAATCCTGGGAACTAACACCAGAACAGTCGAATAACCCTCCAGCCTACAGTAGAAGATTTGCAAGTTACCGCGTCAGGAAACTGGTTCATTTAAAATGACAACGAAGAGTTTGATTACCGAATAAACTTTACATAGTTTTGTTCCTTTGACTACTTACTTACTAAATCCATTTCCAAGGAATTCAGCACAGATTTGTGTGCTTACGTTCATCCGGCAGGGTTTTTCCTTCACAGTAGCTTTTTTTCCTCTTAAACTAATGATACCTGACATATTCTTGAGAAGGAACAGTACTCGGAGCAAAAGTACTTGGAAAGACGGTCACTATAGACGTCATAAAAGAAGAATCTGGTGTCAAGGGGTCGGACTCACCGTTTACATGTGAAATGACGCCTTGCTTTGGTTTCATCTAACCGAGCTACTCTATTAGTTTGGAAACGTTGACAAGTGAGTTCACTGTGGTTTTCTGTATAACCTGGTTCTTCTTACTGATCTTCACTACCCTTGAATGCTTCTTCGTGAATCTAGATTCTTCTTTGTTGTTGTAACTTCAAGGAAGAGCATATCTCGCCCTTATCATCACTTCGGGCTAAATTTTAGATCTAAGTTTTTTTAGCGGTTTCTAAATTTCTCAGTTTTTGCTGTTATTATCGCAAGTTGATTTCGAGACATTTTTGATCCATACTCAAGTGTAGCCATTTTAGGAGAATTCAGTCCGCTGGTCTTCTGCTCGAGGCTGATCTTCTGCGAACATGGACGCGAATGGGCCTCCTTCTCATCTTGGTCCAACGATGCCATTATCAGGTGGTACACCTCTGGGACCGCCTAGTAATCAGAGCGGTGGAATGGATGAGTTGAGCGAAAAGCAGCTCACTCCAGAGGTTTTACAGATTCTGATGACGTTTCTGAGAAAAAACGGTCTATCAGTGAGTTTTCATGACAAATGGACGCATCAAGACCTTGTTGCAGCTTTCTTATTTATAGGAAACTGAAGAAGCCCTATCGAAGGAAGCAAATAATCTTTTAGTGATGGGTGATGATGCTTCAGCGGCAGCGAATTTCCCGAGCAGGTAAGAAGCAATGATATTTTTGTACACTTGGCTGCGTGTACAGGTGAGGCCACCATCCTCCTGGGATTGGGAGCTATTTTTAGTCACATTAACAGTAGGCGAACCTCGAATCAGGTTAACTTTCGCCAACTTTATCCTGAAGAGAATCGGAGCTGATGATAAAATATCTGTGTATACCCTACGGCAGATTCCACCCTATTCATTTCCACCTAGTTTTGGGAAATATCAGAACGACTGTTCCAATTTTGAAATGGTGAAGCCCTCTGATTTCATGTGCTATGCTTCTATGTACATCTAGGTAAGTATTGTACCTCATGTGACTCAATGAAATGTAAAGCTAGGAATTTAATGTGACCGCATTGTTTTCGCAACTGTGCAATTAAAGAATAACTCCGGCCCGGAGCACAAATAAAGGGCAGCAAGAGTTCCACTTTGTTCAAAACATGGCACATCTGCCTTTATTGAAATGGCAGTTATATAAATAATTTGTAGCTATGATAAAAAGTATTTACCCAGTTGTATTTTTAAGAGCTGGTTGATGTGGATAAGGCTGAGTAATCAAATGCTGTGTCAATCATTGCTATGTTTAGTGAGGCTCTGTTGTCCGAATTTGATTCTCTGATACAATTTGTGGACTCATCTTTTGATTTCTTCCAAGCCGAATTCAGTCTCATGTTGTATCCAGTTTTCGCCCATTCCTACATCAAACTGCTCATGGAGAATTCAGTGAATAACGGTAGGTGAATTGACTATTCCCCATCAATGAAGGCAGTCAATTATTTTGTCCCCTTTTCTTTTACGCCTTTGGCTTTCTAGTCCCTTCCAATGGTCATTTCTTCTCTATTACTAGCTTTTGAAACCTGATTATGTCTTTATTATTGCTAACCCAAGTTTTTTTGCCATGCCATATGTGTTCGCCTTCTATCGCCATTTTTCTGTGAGCCTCAGACCTTCCTGGTTTTTCCTGGCTTTGTCATGTCATGTCTGTTTGTATTGCAGCAAGAGAGTTCTTCAAACGTTATTGCAAGCGAATACCAACACCGTATGAAGAGCTCGTCTACAAGCTGGAGCGAATTCAGTCGGCTCATCAGGCCCAAGCTGACACGTATGTTCAGCTATTAATGTGAGCGCTGCTTGACATGAAATTTTTTATGCTCTATAATTTGCTTTCACCGCGAACCTGTTCAGGAAAAATACGTTTCTTGTAAAAATGTCTAAATCGTCGATAAAACAATTGGAAATCCCACTTGCGCGTACGCCTACAATTAAAAATATTGTTAAGGAGCACATTACTATAGAAGGTAATCTGTCTGATCGGCTCTTTTGGATTCATTTCCTTCCTCAATTTGGTTTATTTAGCATCCGATGTCATTTCTAAGCTGAGATCAAGCGTTGAATCACAGATGGGTGGAATCCTCGGTCAGGTTTCGAAAAATGAGAAAAGGCACAAGGTAAACTGTCTACGAATGGTAATTTTGAGATGAACTTGTAATGGATGAGATTCAGATGTACTACGGTGTTCTCAAAGATGACGTTTCGCAAACAATCGAAAAAAAGAAAATGCGAGGTAAAGAGCTAAAAGACAACAAGAAAAGCCAGGCTCTCGCACCGGTTCCTGATCGAATACCTCTTCCACCGCTTAGCGAAGCCTTACGGGAAGAACGGCGGAAAGCTATGCGGGTATGATTCACTGCAATTAGTTTATTTAATCGGTCTGGTTTTTCGATAGCAGTCGAGCAGTCGGACTACCATTTTTCTGTTACGCGTCTTCCATATGCAGTCACTTCCTGGTGCAGCTCCAGCGCTTACGAAGTTGCAAATTACGCACAATGAATAGACTTGGAATTCTCCCAATTTCTAGATTTTGAAACATTTAATATTATGCAACAATATCTAATACACTGGCTTCATGGTATTTACTAAACTTTATGAAGTTTCCATTATGTGTGTCACCACTACATTAATTCTATACGCAGGATGCCGCTAAATTGACTTTGGTGTCACAAGAATCGCCTCCATCTGTGTGTATGCTGACTGCACTCAATTCATATGGGCTGGTCTCTTCCTGCGACATTTCTGACGACTCATCAATTCTATGTATAGGGTGAGCGCAACGTGGTTTTACAAGGTTTCCAATCACTTTATCTTACGGCAGTTCAGGTCCTCGGATGGTTCGATAGAGCTTACTGCATTTGATGATGAGCAGAAGTTGAAGAAGCTGCGGGACATGGAAGAGCTAGAAAGGGTTTGTTAAAGCTACAAACTATAACTTCAGTTTATTCATTTACCACCTCGCTTTCCAGATTGATACTGATGCGGATAACGTCACCGATTTGCTGTATGATGAAGCTAGTGCCAAGTCGGAAGTGACATTACATGTGAGTTTTACAGTGTTGCTTTTACAATTTGTTTTGTCATGTTATTTACTTCTTGTTTGATTTACAGGGCCATTCTGGAGCTGTATATTCTGTTCACTTTTCTCCTGATAATCGATTGTTGGTTTCATCTTCCTTGGACTGCTCAATTAGGCTATGGAGTTTGGAAACTCAAAAGAATGTTGTAGTTTATCGACTGAGTCGTCCTGTGTGGCAGGTTCGGGCTACGTTATTTTGTGGCGTCATTTCAAAATACAACGTAAAACTGCAGAAATGTCACTTGTTCGGCAAATTATCTTCTTTGAATATCATTCATAGATTCATTCAGGTACAATTCTCCAATCGCGGATATTACATGTGCAGCGGTGGCGAAGATAACACTGCTATGTTATGGTGCACAGAACGAATGTATCCTTTGAGAATTTTCCCTGATTGTTATGGATCGGTGAATTGCGTGGACTTTCACCCTAACTGTAACTATGTTGTAGGAGGTATAGCGAACTTTCACAATCCTCTTTTCCAGGATGAATTCAAAATGGGTTTTCTAGGTAGTTGTGATCGCTATGTCAGAGTATGGGATGTGCTGACGGGTACCTGTGTTCGTACATTTTGTGGGCATTCAGCCTCTGTGACCGCAGTGAAAGTAGGTTGCGCTGATGTTTTTTCAAAGGAGAGTTGTTTTTTCTTATCAGTGGAATTGAGGTCTCTCCCTGTGGTCGATATATCGTTTCAACCGGTGCCGATGGTGCTGTATGTGTATGGGATGTCGCTTATCAGCGATTAGCAGGAATGGAAACGAGAGACTTCAAAGGGTCGATGGTTCGTATTAAAAAAAGTCATCCAAGCGTCGTTTATTGTTTAATAGTTTTTTTTATTTATTTTGTTTTAGTAGAAAGAGTTTCATTTTGTTAATTCTCGTTAATTAGGGCTCTATTTGCTTCTCTCGTGACGGCGGTTCTTTTGCTGTTTCGCAAGGTGGCGAGTCATTATCCGTGTATTCTTTGGACAACATGATCGCTGCTACCAGTAGCGCCTCAGGCAACAATGAGCTCTGTTTTGATCCAAAGTTTGTCTTTCTCTCTGTTTTTTTTTTTAAATTTCGATCTGTTTTGTGTTGTTTCTGCCTCTGCTCATATTCATACTCATTACTCACATTTTCAGGATTAACATGCCAAATTTCAATATTTTCACTTATCCGACCATGCAAACCTCAGTCATTGGTCTTCATTTTACGCGTCGAAATTTATTGTTGGCCGTTGGAGCGTATCATTCGTAAGATCTCAGTGATGGATAGAAGTTTTTGTTGAAATTTTCTTGGATTTCTTTATATTTATTCTGTCATGTTGTTGTCATTACCGGTATTCGCGGGTCCATGAAGAAGTTTTTTTATAAGATTCAATTTTGTTATACATGCTGCATCTAATTACATTATTTGAATG